ACTGATTGTGAGAAATGAAATAGAAACCAGAAAAAAAGGAGAAGGAAGATTAGCTACGTATTTCTCCCATCTTCCTGGTAAGAATTAGTAAGTAGATAATAATAAATTACTTCATTTTATGACCGTTATGGGCACATAGGTGAGTCATAAGTCATAGGGAATAACACGATTTCAGACAGATTTCGTTGGTCTTTCTCAAATGCTGCAAGCGAGATGGGAAATCAGAGTACAGCAAATGAAATGACTCCGCCCTTTCTTGTGGAAGCATTGCGTTGCTGCGACGTGAACGTAGAGACCACCCAATGCTCTGGGTACAACTGTTGTCTCTGAGACAGTAGCTGTTTGCCAGAGGTTAGAATCATGGAATGGTTTGGGTTGGAAGGGACCTTCAAGACCATCCAGTTCCAGCCCCCCTGCTATGGGCAGGGACACCCTCCACTACACCAGGTTGCCCAAAGCCCCATCCAACCTGGCCTGGAACACTGCCAGGGATGGGGCAGCCACAGCTTCTCTGGGCAACCTGGTCCAGTGCCTCACCACCCTCTGAGTGAAAAATTTCTTCCTTAGATCCAATCTAAATCTCCCCTCTTCCAGTTTAAAGCCATTGCCCCGTGTCCTGTCACTACACACCCTTGGAAAAAGTCCCTCTCCAAAAAATGTAAAATCAATTGCTAAACAAAAGTCATTGCCATATCCAAGATGTCAGTGATGTTCTTGTCCTTGAGGCTAGATCAGAAAAAAGGAATTTTCTTGAACTCCAGTCTTCCACAGCGACAGTGGGTAAAATACAGACAGAGGCTGGGAGTTGGAGGAAATAGTAAAATAAAACAGCAGGACTGGACAGAAGGAAATTCACCCTTTCTCAGCACATTCCAAGAACTGTTTGCTAAGGATGTGCACAAGTATTTGTGATCTTGTGTATTTGCATGTGCAGGAAATGTTTTATGAGGAGGGCACTTCCTCAATTACGGTGTATATATGTTGGTGAGACGGAGCTGAGGGAAGTAAAGGGTTTGATGAAGACAAGGATTGTGCTCTTGAAGAAGATCCAGTCTGTGGTAAGACACTGGCTTGGCATGGTGGGAGGAAAATAGATGGTTTTTTTTGTCTCAGGGATTTTTTTTTGATTCATTCTTTTCTTACGTAACCCTGACACTGCCAGAGCAGTTGGATTTGTTTTCTCAGAGATGCTTGTGGATTCTCACATATCTAAGTATCTAGGATTTGGGAAATCCTTGAAAATCATGATGGGAATTTTCTTTCTTGTTGATTGTAAATGCTGTGATCTACCATGGTTTTTAATTTTTGTATCCTTACTCAAAATATTTGGTCGACTTCACAGTTGGTAGGTCTCTCCCTGTGCAGAGAATTGTTGTTCAAAGGGAAATGAGAAAAACTTTTCATTCATTTTCAGTTTCAATGGCAGAGCTTTCACAGCTCTTCCAGAACAAAAAAGGACGGACTGCTGAGGAGAGATGGGCTGTATTTCATAAAAAAACTCAGTGCTTCTTTCATTTTAGAATTACCAACTTAGGAAGGAAGGCTTTAAACTGGAATTAATGGGGTCTAATGACAAAAGGATCTACATGTTATCCGTGGAAAGGTGACCAGAGGCACAGTAACCATGGATATAAGGTTTTTATAAAAAGGATCGAAGCAATCTGGAAACAGGATAGTGAATCTGCTGAACGTTTAAGGTGTCTATACTGGTGCAGGCTGTATGGAAACTAAATGGACGAATGTACAAGGTTCTGCATGAATTTGTGATTTAGGCAACGTAACTGTTTACTTGGGGGGATGTTTTGTTTGGTAACAAATTGATACAGAAGCAAGTGGAGGTGGCACCTGAGGAAAAGGGGAGGGAAGATACATTTCTCTATGAATGTTTCCCTTTGTATTGAAGTCTAGAACATAGTGGGAGATAATATGTTAAAAGTATCTTTATGATCATAAAAGGAGGAAAAAAGCCTGAGTGCTATGTCGAGGACCTACCATTAAGACCACCAAACCAAGAAGATAAGATGGAAAGAGCATTTTTGGAAACAACTGCCAGAATAATTTACTTTGAGGACATCCTAGCTCACCAAATTGTTCTTGGGGGAAAAAAAATTGAATACAGTGCATCCAGGATATTTTTAAACTAGGATGGTGATCCAGAAGGTGAAGGTTAACACAAGAATTTTCTTACAGGGGTTTCAAGATTTTTAGAATGGGTAAGAGGAAGAATAGGAAAAAGCAACTACAAGCAATTCAAAGATCTGCTTGCAAAATCCTATGAAAACAGTCTAGGAGAAAGGTGCTCAGGAGTTTGGCAGTTCATAAAAATATATATATTCCACATAGTTGCAGGGTATCCTGATATGGAACAGTGAAAATAACTGGAATTTGTCTTGTAGTCCTCAATGGGGTTCAAGAAGGAAGCGTAACGGAAATAGCAAGAATTGTCCCATGAACAGTAAGCTTTTGGAGAAACAGCTGAAGCTCTTCTCAAGTTCTCAGTGATGTTTAGAACCCAGCGCGGTCCCATAATGGGCTAGCAAGCAAAAAGTCAGCTAAATGATACCAAAGAATTCTAGGGCAATAAGCTTAGTTTCCTAGAAATTCAGGAGTGTGTAGTTAAATGTGGAATATATCCAGGAAATGAAGAGAGAGGGGAAAAAAGAGAGAGGTCGTTACAAACACTGTGTATTACACAAATCCAGTTTCCTTTTTATGGCTGGATGGCAACATTTAACACTTGTGTGCCTCAAAGCAGGGAATCTTAGTCTGTATTAAATTATTTTAGGGTCATGGTTTAGTGGGGGACTTGCCAGTGGTGGGTTACCAGTTGGACTCGATCTTCGAGGTCTCTTCCAACCTAGATGATGCTGTGGTTTTTAGGGAAGAGTTCTGTTTAGGACTGAGAAGTGCTTTTTGGTTTATCCTGCAAGCAGTAAACTTAGGAGGTCAGGGAGTGTCAGCAGGTTCAGAAACAACTTAGACAAAGTCAGGGAGTTATAGAATCACAGAATCCCAGAATGGTTTGGGTTGGAAGGGACTTCAAAGATCATCTAGTTCCAACCCCCTGCCATGGGCAGGGACACCCTGCACTACACCAGGTTGCCCAAAGCCCCATCCAACCTGGCCTTGAACACTTCCAGGGATGGGGCAGCCACAACTTCTCTGGGCAACCTGTCCCAGTGCCTCACCACCCTCAGAGTGAAAAAGTTCTTCCTTATATCCAATCTAAATCTCCCCTCTTTCAGTTTAAATCCATTTCCCCTTATCCTATCACTACACACCCTTGTAAAAAGTCCCTCTCCAGCTTTCCTGTAGGGCCCCTTTAAGTAGTTTAAGGAGTTTGTTGTGAAGTGTAAAGGGAAGAGGCTCTTTCCTTTAGCATCTGGCATCCAACAGTTGTGTGTGCTTGTGAAGTGTGAAAGGTGTAACCTGGAAGTAGTAGCCAGGCTGTATACTGGGCTGGATGTACTGTTGGGCTCACCTAGGTGTAGTTAAGTCCAACCCAGGAGGGTAAAATGGAACAGTTCTGTTGCAGCAAGAGTGATTTGGACTTGTGAAAATCTTTCAAACAATAATAACATGTAAGTAGGGAAATGGATTGCCAAAGAAGTTCTGGAACCTCAACCGTTTTTGTGGTTGGAAAAGTCGATTACACAACCAGCCAAAACTGTAGTTTAAGTATCTCAGGTCCTTAGCAGAGGTAAAGGAGGTGGGTGATCTCTGCTTTTTTTCCTCCCCGAAGTGTTTGATGGTCCAGACTCTGTCTCGTTGTCATGTTGTGTCTTAGTGTTCATGTGAGGTGTGAAGAACGTGGAAATGGTGGGACCTTTCTGTTGTAGTTCAGTGAAGAAGAATGTTTCGTGTTGCATCACGTTTCTGCACAATGGTCCTAAACACCATGAGTCACTTCCCAGGACTCTGTAACATAACTGAGCACATACTGGAATTAATGTTCTTTTGTCTCAATGGTTTTCTTGTCTTTTGTGGACTCATCTCTTCTCAGCTTTCCTAAATGGATAACCAGGCATTTGAAATGCATGGAGAGAGCAGAAGTCCTTCAAAAGGAAAAGAGTGGCCAAAGAAAGAGGTACCAGTCATATCAAACCATAATTAGCAGAGTCTGTTTGAAGATTAAAATCTTATTTTGTAATATCACCTAATCCTACACTATTAAGAAGGTCCTGAGGAAAATAAAAGTTCTGGAGGGCTACAGTTGCGTAGCTCCACGTGCACTAGCTGGGATCTGAACTGTGGGATGTAATTCCCTGGCCCAACTTGAGTTATCAGCTAAATTCTTTCTCCTGTAACTACTGGACAAAGTCATTATCTTTGGCTTTTTTAGCTTTAAAAAGGGAGCAATTTAAACCGGAGAAAAGATTGGTGCTGAATAGAGTACGGTGATATTTTGAGCACTTTGCTGCTGCCAAGAGAGATGTATTTGTAAAGAACTTTTGTCAAATACGTTCATGAACAAGGTAATTTTGTTAAAATCAGCAAGTAATCTTCAATTTTTTTATTTCTGATTGGCCAGCTTAAGGAATCAACGTTCACAGCTCACTTTCAGGTGCTCACCATCTGAAAAATCAGCCCTTGGAAGACAGATCAAGCTGTGCACCCGGAATCAGTCGAGAGTGTTAAAATTTGGGCCAGAGAACACAGTCTCTATTCATCTGAAGCTGCAGCTTCAGCCTGAATGTCCACAAAGGAACCTTCCAGTAAAGAAATGATGCCCAGAGCAGTGAGCACAGAAATTTCCCCATTAGAAACAGCAGGGAAAAAATCCTAAAACATTTGTAAGACCTCAGGATGAGGAAGATGTGCTTTTACTTGATGAAATGCCGAAAGGACAGCAACAATCTGATAAATAAGGTTTCCCTGTCCTGAGCCCAGGAATTTGGTTCTACTTCTGTTTCTGAAAGCCATACTGGTTTGATCACGAAAGAACTATCACCAACTTTGTCCTGTGCGTTAGATCTAACAAAACTTTTTTGTTTGTTTAGGCTTTTTCTTCGTTTCAGGAACGAAAGGGCAGCTGGTCCCTCATGAAAATCTTTCTAGTTTGTCTGTTGGCGTGTGTTATCACCACGGCAATAGGAGTGCTGGTCCTGTCCTTGGTCTATGTGAACAGCACTCCCTTTATGAGAGAGATGGATGTTAAAAATGATGGCACATCTTCCCCAAAAGCAGATGAAAAAAGTGTGGATATCCGATTCCAATTCCTGAATCATCTGGGGAAATCAAAGGTAAAGTTTTCAGCTTGGGCAATAACATTCTAGCCTCATATAGAGAAGTTTAATGAATTAGTTTCACCTAAGTCTAAGTTTTTTTTCTCAACTTCACCTAAGTTTTTTAAGCATTAGGTGCTCAGTCTAAACCTGTTATCCAGGCTTCTTTTAAAACCCGTGGGGACAGACACAAACTTCCTGACAGCATTTCACTCCAGTTCACCACAGATGTTGGAGGTGCTATGGATCTCTGGAGCGCTTCTTGGAGAGCTAAATAATTGCTCCAACAAATTGGGCTTGCGAGACAAAGCAGCCATTTTAGGTGTGAATGTGAAATTGGTGTGAAATTTTGAGAAACAAAAGTAGAAAGATGAAATCTTAATGTAAGCTGAGCAGCACACTAAACTTCTCGTTCTTAGGACTGGATTCACACAAAATCTTATGTTGGAATTAAAAATGAACTCCGTGATCTCGTTTCGGCGAACGAAAATGAATTCATTGACAATGTAATGAAGCCCTAGGAATTATGTAGGTTTTGTTTAGGTGTGTTTTGATACTTACACAAATGTATCCTTTGAGCAAACTCTAAAGACATACTCCATCTTC